GTTCATACTCGGTTATGTCCTTTAGAGCAGCGTTTGCGAACCTATGGTACGCGTACCTCTGGTGGTACGCGAACTAAGTAAGATAATCAAAATATAATATTAACATAAATAAGTACATTTAATGTGTTAAATTAGAATTAGTGGTACGCCAGCGAAAAAGGTTGAGTACCCCTGCCTTAGAGAGACCACGTTCATCGACAACTGCTCTCTAAGAGAACCTACTGATTATCTAACCTCACCTCCCAATATTTCTCTCGAGAGGGACAAAGTTCAGATATCCGGTAATAATAATTATAATTGGTATATGTCATCGTCACAGCCCTTTAGAACTGGTTCACAAAATTATCATTAACATCATCGCTTGTAGGCCTTTCCGGTCAATTAAAGTTTGATGTTGTGTATAAGAGCTTGTATTTTGCAATATTGAAAGTCTGTTCTTTTTAACTTACATGATTCAAATTAATTCAGTAATTCCGATTCTCCTACTACAAACAAATATACATTATGTCGTCTGACAAAGCGTTTCCAAGACAATTGAACTCTTGCATTAAATATCAATGAGGAAAAGAGTGAACTTATTATTTACTGTGCGCTGAAGACATTTCCAGCATTTATCATAATATTGATATTTTCTTTAATTATTCTAATGTATTTTTTTCTAAGATAGTGTAGTTGCGTCATATTGTGATTTTATTTATTTATTTAGTGTTCTGTCTGACGACAGGTCCATATGAACAGGATCCTTCCATCCTTTTCTCGGACTGGGAGCTGTTCATATACGTTCTTGGCAGTTGATCCAGAAGTGGTTTGCCATTGCCTTCTTCTGTGTGTGAATGGAGTAATTGTTGGGATGCCACGGAGGAAAACTCCGTGTTGCCTAGACCACGGCCTTGCCCAACACAAGTTATAAATTCGGGCACCGCCGGGAATCGAACCCGAGACCCCAGGATTACAAGGCCAGCGTTTTAACCGCTAGACCACCGCCGTCAAATCACAATGTATTTAAAATAAGATAATTAAAATAATTAAAATATCATTCTGTGTTCCATATCGAATCGATTATAATTTAATTTTAATGTATTTTTTTCTATCAAATAGAACATGTGTTGGTGATGAGTTGCAAGAATTTTTGTTCAGCCTGTACAACTGATTCTATCAGCGCGTCGCAATAAATTGAACGATGCATTTACAGAAACTGCAAGTTTGCTTTATTCTTTTGTTTCTAATTTTCTTCTGTTGTTCTCCAAGAAAAGAGAGTGACCTTGGCGAAATCAACACAATTACGTCACGTTGATAAGGCACCTGATTCCTCGAGCGACGACAAGTTTTAAGACCAGTTTAAAAGAAATCAATTACTTTGACGGATCATCTGATTTACCGCTCGAGTGGCCAGCGACGTTTCTGGAAAAAAAAAAGAAAAAAAAGTTGCCCTCGTCAGCCCCAAAGTAGGCCTACATGCCTGTCAACACAAAGGATTACTACAGTCGTTTATAAAATCTACTGAAGGATTCCTTTCGTTTGCCTGTTTTGAACTTCGCAACTAAAACAACGAATGTGATAGCAGTGTAGACAGATTTTTAAGCATAAATGTCATATGTAGCATCGTTTTTGAGCGATGTTTCAACCTTAATTACGTGGTTTACGGCGACAGCTCTTGGACCCAACAAAATATAACTACTGGAGGTAAATTTGGCTTTACGCAGATACCGACACTGTGTAGGGCGTAAACTACGTCCTCAGTTGACCTTTTAGGGACAAGGAAATACATAGAAATTATCGCAGACCAGAATGATCGCTAATTTCTGTGATGCTATTGAAAAGTTAAGTAGCTGGCACCGATTTCCAAAGGAAAAAATAAGAAATAACTTTAGAAGTCACGAAATGGTAAGTATTTTGCCTTAGTTGAGCAAAGCGAAGTTCAATTTATCCTTTCAATAAACATAGTTTGATCGATTTCTGGCCAAATCGTATTTTGCACATTTATAAACGTCCGAAGTGACTTGGGTAATTTAAAGGAGCTGATGTTTTCAAGACGGCGATGATGCTCACGGATGCTACATCACACGGTGAACAAACATGATAACCCGCTGTTGCGACCCCACAGTAAATCAGTCATCCAGGCTGCCTGTTTTCTCCGCCCCACCCCCTCCGTCCTCCGACTACTGACTTAGTTTCCAGTCTGTCCAACTGTACACGCTTGTTAAGTTTTTGCCTCGGAGTTCAGTAGCAAAAGGTTGGTCGTCGCAACACAGCATCAACCGGAATGCCAGAGTTCGATTCCCGAGGCTCAGACAGACTTCTTTTAAACCGTGACACACCCTAATTTGTCAAATACATACACATGACGGCAAATCGCAAAATGATGCCGTGATGATGGAGGCAGCAAGTTCCTCTGAAACTTCTAAGCCATCTTAAGACTCGCCTCGAATCTTGTATTTAAATAATCTCCCAATTAAAATGTAGGCATACGAGAACTGAACAACACAATCTCTAGATAAGACTGTCGTTGATAAAACAGAGTGAGTATTACAAATTCTGATTATGAAAAATATGTATTGCCTTTTTCTAACCATAACGTGAGGTGAGTTTGAAGAACACAATCATCTTCGATCATTCACGTCTCAATCAAAATTTCAGATAGAATTGTTATCGTATTTTACCACCGGACCATAAAAACGTAAGGGGGAGTGGATGTTAAGGTCAGCGCATTCTTAGACTCAGCACTTAAGGAGGTTAAGGTGAGTTTTACGCTTCGGACCTGTAGACACCGGACAGAATGATTTTCAAAAAAAAATTGGGCCTAGTGGTAAAGAAATACTCTGCCTTGCCGGCTACCGAAAGCTGATCGTTCCCCTATTGTAACGTTTCTCGTCTATCGTTAGAGCGAATAGCCTCACATATAATAGACACGCCTGTAAATAAATATCAGTGCTCTGGACGGAGTAATAACTTTAAATAGTGCGTCGTTACTGATGGTAAACCACCCGCAACGCAAGGCTGGTCGTACGCTCGACGACTGACCGACCCCTCCTGGAGGAATTGAATTTTACGCCTGGACAAGGGAGTGGCGTTAAATCTTTGCCGTTCTTAACTTAAAAGACAATGCGAAAAATAAAAGTTTTATTTGCTATAATAATTTTATAATCTCAGCTGTCGACAAAACTTCAAAGAATCTGAATATCATTCTCTCCCCCATTAAAATGTCATCATGTTCCCATTTTAAATAAAATACAGTCACAACAAAACCACAGAAGCCGAGATCGGGCCTTGTAAATGAGTGACAACCATTCTACAAGTGGAAATCGTAGACGTTAGAGATGGTTATGATGGTAATTTTTGCCATCTGCGTTGGTTCACCATGTGCGAAAAGCCATTGGTTCTCCGCACACCAAATACTGAAATTCTCTGAATTATATATTAGATGTTTTTTTTTGTTAAATATGTACACATTTTTGAAAAGCACTGTACGTAGTCGTGTGTTGTGATGCTGGGTGGTTTTGTAGATGGTTACTAATATTTTAGGAGAAACACGCAGCCTTATATTCAAATCAAAGATGGAGGCTACTACAAAATAAATTATGTTCTCGCATAAAGAATTCAAACCTCAAAATCCACAAGGAATCGAACGCCACAAACTATGATACGAGTAAAGACAGATTATTACGAGGTTTTCCGTGTATCCACAAGTACTACATTTCGATTGAAAGATTGTGGTAGAATGCGAAGATGATTATACAATAACAGAGGCGTTCTTTACATAAACACAGGCACGTTAGGGGTGTGTGATCCAAAGACAATAAAACATCCCGTCGTCAAACACGTTCAGCGATGGTAACGCCAATGGATGTGAGCGGAAAATGCAGACTACGGAAAAGTGAATCTTTGAAGGAAACTGAAAGGAATGAAGTCATCTCGGGCGGTCATTTTTTTCTGTCTTAGAAGTACACACACCCCGCAGATGTTGATTCCACATGGGCTAAGAAGACTTCATTACGGACTAAAGAGATACAAGGTGGGATGAGGAATATAACAGATGAAAAAGATGAGAATTTGGAAGCAAAATAAATTAAGTACTTCGTGTGTAAGAGAGGAGAAATGGTTTCTCTGGCCACCTGAGCCTGCACAACTTTTTCTGTCATTAATCATAATTTGTAAGTAATGAAAATGCGTTGTTGATGACGTACACGTCTCTTTCTAATATAAGTTACACTCACAAGACATCACGTGACCAGTTTTTATCTCCAACTAAGACATATCAAGGCAACCAAGGTAAATAACTCGTCACGTTTAATGAAAAAATGGTGTATGTGCTTCAGACTCGTAAACATTCCTCTGCAACTTTTCACGTTGAGGATTTCGATTTTTAAAAATCTAGACTAACTTTTTTTTTTCATGTTATAGTTCGACCCTGAGAAAATTATTTTTCATTTGAACATTTCTTACTGCGTGTTATAAATAACATTAAAAAAGTCATCTCGCTACGAGTGGAGGTGGCTTACTTATTACCCATCAAATGCTTTCACTTTATTCAAACAGGTGTGTTACATTTACCATGTTCAGTGACCTGGAAGTTAATGTATACTAAATTAGTCATATTGCTAAGATATATAATTAAATATTATATAATGTAGCGCCCTAAATAATTTTCGGTTATTGTCCGTATTTGAAATGGATGCGAAATTATATATTTAATTATATATTTCATATTTTTTGTTTATTTTTTATTTCATATAAAAGTGAAACTTGGCCTCTCACAATAAGGACAGAGACACATGAAGAGTGTTTAAGGCAATGCTCTGTGGAAAATATTTGGACTTAAGAAAAAGAGACAAGGATTTTGATATTGTTCAGTCAATCTGAAACTGAATTTAACTCTCTGACATGAGTTCGTAGCGTACGAGACAAAGACGCTCATTTTGGCCCAAATTTCGGGTTCCGTCCTCGCTTCTCACCTGATTCTTCTGGAACGTAAAAGTGCGCCGTGTGACGGATGCACTCACCTCTCATGAGAACTTTCCGGAGGCTTCTGCGCGCTGTCGTGCAGTTCCATCGTCGGTTCCGGAACTGGTACTGACACTCCTTGGTGCCTAGTGACACGCCTTTCGTAATCTCCTTCAGGAGCGCCGGCTCCTTCTTGCAAATGTCTGCAAGTCTGCCGCGCAGTCGACGGGTCTTTTTACAGATGAGCGTCGGGTCCATCACCACGTGACTACCCACGGCCCTGCGCAACAATCAATCAATCAATCAATCAATCAATCAATCAATCTGTGGACGGTCTGTTTGTTTCTAATCTTCCAGAATTTACGCTTGCTGTGATGGATTGCACATTTACGTCTCAGAAAAAACAAAGAACGTAAAGCGATTTGTAAAGTTAATTCATTAAGTGAAAAATGAATAACACTTACCAAAAAGCGTGAGAGATCTTGTAACAGGCACGTTATTGAAGAAAAATACAAAATACATTTTCCGAATGCAACAGAAAAGAATGTTGGAAACGTTTTCTCAAGTGTCGCCCGCGTAGACATTATACGTCAAGACACCATCGATTGCAGTACAATCGTCAATGCACGGATTTATATCGCTTCCTTTGGTAGGTTGGGTTAGTTCGACTTAAGAATATCCACTGGCTTTAAGTAATTCTTGAATCATTAAGACTATTCTTGTGGCAAGGAGTACCAACTTAAATTGTACAAGTTGTATTCAAACGAAGGCCGCGTGTCATTAAAAACACTAATCTAGGGCCAAATCAACACCTAAATTTCCTACAGTGTTTGACAATTTCGTATCTGTGACCTCTGACAATTTTAAAATTAATGATCCGAAAATAGGCAACACAATTTTATAAAAAATTAGTCAAAAGTAAATTTCATGTTATATATAAATCTTAATGTGGTGGCAGAATTAAAGTATTTCATATCGAGCTTAAAAATTAGATTCAGCTGAAGATGTTACAGCACAACGTGAACTGAGTTAACCGAATAGAAATTACTTAAAATCAGTTTTAGTATAAACAAAATCAAAATGGAGTCGAATTACTATGCTGGGCTTATACATTACACAAATAATTTTTAAAACAATGACATAGAATATTAAGCTCAGTCATTAACGACAACTCCCCGCGGGTAAAGCCGGCCTGGGTGTGACGCTAACCACGCACACACCCCCATCTAGTCCCTCTAAGCGCCTACATGGCGTATAGTGGACAGCTATGATAAAAATAAGTTTTTCTTAATTGAATGATATACATTAATATATAAGTCCATAAAACAGAAAATTCCTCAAAAATGTTTAAAGATATTTACGCGTTCGAAAAATTCTCTGCCTTTTTTGGTGTCCTAAATTTCATCACCGCGTTCACAAAAGCATACATAGGCTACATATTTATTTATTTATTTGTGCTTTTAATCCGAAATAACACAAACGGAAATTATAATGTGTCAATACACGACTACACTTGAAATATAATCATTGTGAAACCAGTAAAATGTAGTAGGAGTTCAAATTATGAAAAATTCTGCGTCCTTTCATGTCGAAAAGTTACACACAACACACCAAGAGCCCTAGAATTCAGACCGAGGATTTCAGACGCAAAAATTCCATAACTTCAGTCTAATCCCTTTCGAAGAAACCAATCTTAATTAGGTCGGGATCCGTCTAATTACTCGGTAATGTTATGAAGATGTGACGCCTGACAGGTCGTCTGTTAATACTAGGAAGCTACTCGCAGAGTATTCGTTAGCTGGTGTGTTCAGCAAATAATAAGATAATATCGTATAATGAGAAGCGGTCTCGTCGCCTCGCCTCCCGTCTACTTGCGTCATGAGACAGCAATTTACTGTCCAAATGACTCTCTAGACGTTACAATTCTCATACTTGAAGAAACTAAGCTTAAGGCAAACTTTCAGTGATCGCGCAAGGCTCCAGGATTTTGTTTACAATTTCACACCAGTCATCGCGCAGGGAGATGGAACGATTGTATTCAACACACAGCTTTTATTAAAAACTTCCAATATCTTGTACAGATGTGTTTGAGAAAGAATCAACAGAGAAGTTTAGGAAAAATATCACATAATGAGAATCAGAGTATCAGCTTCACAAGTCAAGACGTAAATTATGAGTAGTTAATATTTTGCAACTACATTTTAGCGTAACGGAGATAAAAGCATTTGAAGAAAATGATAAATTCTGAAAATGCAAAAGATAATTTATATATGAGGGTTAATGTCGATCAGCTAATGCATTGGATGTTAACGCCGATGTGAATTATCCCGCAGAAGATATTGTGAGAATTTAAATAGCTTCATGACCTGGTCCATCATCATTTATTGTCAGGTTCAACAAAATCTCTTGTTGAAAGTTTTGTCTGACTGGGAATAGTAAAGTTAAAGTAGCGAATCAGATTGTGTAGGGGAAACAAAACATGGCTAAATTTCACAATTTATTCCTGCAAACATTTCAAAAGCGAACTGGATTCGAACCCAAGATCCTATTCTACACCCGGCCCATGACCTACGCGCCTCACGCCGTATCCTGACCGACTATATTAGATCGTCTTTTGAAGACGAAACACATTCACGTTTCTTGTCTGCGTATCTCGGCTCTTCAAGGATTAATATCAGCCTTTTCACTACTTTTTATTTATTATTTAGTGTTCTGTCTGACGACAGGTCCATATGAACAGGATCCTTCCATCCTTTTCTCGGACTGGGACCTGTTCATATACGTTCTTGGCAGATGATCCAGAAGTGGTTTGCCATTCCCTTCTTCTGTGTGTGAATGGAGTAATTATTGGGATGCCACGGAGGAAAACTCCGCGTTGCCTAGACCACGGCCTTGCCCAACACAAGTTATAAATTCGGGCACCGCCGTGAATCGAACCCGATCTACAGATCTAAGTCCTGAACAGGGGGTCAAAAGAGACGCATGACAAATAACTAAAATATTTAAAACGAATACAATGCAAGAAGGACACATCCCTACATTGAATTCATTCACTACACAACGACAGATCAGAACATGTAAGGATGGAGTTCATCCGTACAAGGCAAGAGATTTCAATTCACGACCTTCGAAACAAGACACGTCGCTTATCACAGTGTTGCTCTGAATATCTCATAATAGTGTCAGACGCCTCGACAGTTGCACTAATACCAAAATGGCCAGATTAATTTCAGACATGCTTCTGATAGTTTGGAAACGTCTAATGTTCAAGATCTCGAGCCTTCTAAGATCCGTCTTAAGATCAATAATCATTGCAGTATTCACAATAAATTGTAACTCAACGCCTTCCTTATTGTCAACCAGATAAATCCTATCCGAACGTACATTCCTCATTTTAAGGTCTCTTTTAATATTATCCTCACATCTACAACTATGTCTTCCAAGTTACGTCTTCCCTTCCTCGACTAAAACTATGTATGCATGCCTCCATCTCCCCTCCAACCTCACCCCTTGATATGACCACAGTAACAATATCTGATAAAGATCAATAATTATACAGCTCCTCACTATAAACTTTAACCCATCTAAATCCACGAGAAATCTCGATCGCGATTTCTGGTTTCCGGGCCGAGATTTGAACCAGAAAACTCTCGAATACGAAGCAAGGGTTCGACATTGCAGCACGTCGTTCGACCCCATTAATTCCAGGGGCAATGGAATGATGTTTTAGTTAAATTTATATAAATGCATGAGTTTTAAATTTTATATATATTTATTTTGTACAGTCTATACACAAACATTTGAAGTTTATTGGTGTTGTAAAAAAAAACGTTTGTGTATAGACTGTACAAAATAAATATATTTAATCAAACACAAACATGACGCATATAAGATACAAATTTAAATTTTATGTTATGTAATTTGCGAACTGAGACGTTACATTTGAGATTTATGCAAAGAAAATAGCGAATGAATGCATTCGAAAATGAAGTTTTGTAGAAATCCGCAATTATATAACTTGCTCCAACCGAATGAAGCAAAGTTTTCTATCGGTTTGGCGGAGTACACTTGAGGAGAGACGTAAGACTTCACAGCTATTAATTCAGTTTGCAATCTGCATGAATAAAACTTGAAGAAAGAAAGTGAAATATTTTTGTCCTGTATCTTGTGGCATGGCCTCCCGTAATTTTGGACAAAATTGCGTCCGATGTATATATCGTACGGCTTCAAGCATAAGGAATTGTGTAATGCTACTCCCCATGTGGACATAACTGAAACCTCTTCTTGTCTGCGTCTATCCATAAATTCTAAATTAAACAGAAGCAAACAAGAATAAGAAAATTAAATTCATCAGATGCTGTTATTTGAAATTCACTGTTTGTTTCTCCTGATAGCTTACCGCATACTTTATGAGACTGCTGTACTTGTTTACATAAAGTTCTCCTGAACTGCCTACTCTCTATATCAGCGGTATTCAACTTTTTTTGTTCGCGTACCCCCAGATATAATTTCTCTTCAAGTTTGTACCCCCCAAAGTTGTTGGTGTATAATTCAAGTTATACATAGTATATAATCTACTTCTAAAATAAATTAAATAAATTACATTACTTATTATTCAGTGTTTATCATAAAATAATATTTTTTTTAAAAAATTTCACGTACCCCCTAAGATGTCTTCGCGTACCCCCAGATATAATTTCTCTTCAACTTTGTACCCCCAAAGTTGTTGGTGTATAATTCAAGTTATACATAGTATATAATCTACATCTAAAATAAATTAAATAAATTACATTACTGATTATTCAGTGTTTACCATAAAATAATATATATATATATTTTTTAAATTTCATGTACCTCCTAAGATGTCTTCGCGTACCCCCGGGGGTACGCCCAGTATTATAAGCTGTAAGTCGTTCGAAATCATCACTAAATATCTATTTCAATCTGAAAATCATCTGATTTGCTATTATTGATATTCTGGTTCAGCCAGACCTCCCTAAGAACCAGAATCAAGGTCACATATCTCTTAAGCGATGCCTGGGGTTTGTGGTCACAACATTCTTCTTTCGAGTCTCGGCCAGACCTCTGTCTGCCATTATTTAGATCTTCCGTGGTTTCTGTCCGAGCGAATTACGGGCAGAAATTTTAAATAGGCCTCGACTTATGCCGTTTTCTCCTCAGTTGGAAACTACACAAACCCTTGTGATTGGTCCAGCATCGTTAAATAACCTAAGAATAAACCATTTAGAAATTGATTTAATATTGAGAATAAAGCCACAG